CCCGGAGAACTGAACTTGAAGATTGGCTGCCCTGTCATCCTTCTTCGAAATCTTGCACCCTCTCGGGGCTTATGCAATGGGACTCGCATGGTTGTAACACAAATGCGTGATAGGGTTTTGGAAGTGCGATTGATTGGGGGCGAGCATGATGGCGAGGTAGCACTGATACCCCGGGTTTCATTGATCCCATCTGCATCATCAGCGGATGTCACTTTTCGATTCAAGAGACGGCAGTTTCCTGTACGACTCGCTTTTGCACTGAGCATAAATAAAGCTCAAGGCCAGTCAGTACAATATGTTGGCCTGAACTTGCACATCCCTGTGTTTGCTCATGGTCAGCTGTATGTTGCTCTTTCAAGAGCCACATCGAGTCGCAATATTAAGATACTTCTCCTGGAGAACAGCACAGAACCTCTAGCATATAATGTTGTATATGATGAAGTCTTAATATAATTCATTGCTTTCCAGCTTAGATTCAGAAATGAGCTCACAGCGGCGAGTTGTTTGCCTTCAATGTTTGGTTCGAATACTTTAGTCACATGATTCATAACGTGTTGCGATCATGATCAAAGGATCAGGAAATTCCTGGAACCCACTTGAAGCTTTTGTGAAGTTGTCCTGAAGCAAGTTCTGTGACGATAAAGGAGGCAACAACGATGGTAGGTTCATTACCATCCCCTTTCTCTCATTGAAAGTCCACTCACTATTATTGCTCTCACTATGTCTGTAACACCCACCTCAGCTGACACAGCAGCTGGCATCGCAACTATCACTGCAATTGCAGCCCTCAGAAACCCAAGAGCCCTCCCCAGCACCAAGACAGTGGTCTTAGATGCCCAGATCTATGTAGGCTCTCCCTCTTGTGAGTCTTTGCTTGGGAGCTTGTGATTTTTCAATGCGTCTGACATGGTGTTCGAACACCAAAATGCTCTCTATCTCATTTATGCTACTGTAAGTGCTTTATTTTGCGTAAGCTTCATGTATGCTCAAACACCTTAACTTTTAGTTTGCACGCATGGAGAACGGCGTTGATCAGCGCTCCATTACCGACTATAACTTTGTTGGTGATTTACAATGGGTGATGTTTCTAATTTTTTCATGGAGTCATATCAAATTGAACAGCATTTGGAATTTAGTTAATTCCTCTCAGCACTCAAAACAATTGCCAGGACTTCCAGATCGATCCCTGCCAACGCGCTTACGTTCACCTCTCTGGACCAGTGACCAATGTTCACAAGGAGTCTGAAACTTTCAAACTCGATGTCGAACATTACATCTCCGCCTTCAGAGACTTGAACAATTCAAACTCCAAACCCACTGGCATCAAACCTATCACTAGTGGCTACCACTATTTATGATTAATCTATGACAACTGTCCAAGAGCCATTGTGTATAATGCCACAGGTTTTATGAAAGGTATCTCATTAGGATTGCCCATCTATTTCATTCAATTTGTCACTGGAATCTTTCATAAGTTATAGGCAAGGATAATGAGATATCATGGGGATATTTCATTAAGCTCTTTGGCCCTTTCATTATCATTTCTGAGACTTTTCATTAGGATATTTCATTAGGCTGCTTCGCTTTTTCATTACCATTTCATAGAATTTTCATTAGGATATTTCATTAGGCTCCTGCGCTTTTTCATTATCATTTCTTAGAATTTTCATTAGGATATTTCATTAGGCTCCTGCGCTTTTTCATTACCATTTCATAGAATTTTCATTAGGATATTTCATTAGGCTCCTTGGCACTTTCATTACCATTTCATAGAATTTTCATTAGGATATTTCATTAGGCTCCTTGGCACTTTCATTACCATTTCTTAGAATTTTCATTAGGATATTTCATTAGGCTCCTGCGCTTTTTCATTATCATTTCTTAGAATTTTCATTAGGATATTTCATTAGGCTCCTGCGCTTTTTCATTACCATTTCTTAGAATTCTCATTAGGATATTTCATTAGGCTCCTGCGCTTTTTCATTAT